TGAAAACTGATAGCAGGGATGAAAAAAAGTGAATTTTTTTTCTGTTTTAGAAGATCAAGAGATAATTTTGAAAAATGTATTATCGTAAACAGCAGTATAAATAACCTTTAGACATTTAGGGGAAAATGGCAGAAGAAGCTGAGACCAACATTAAGAATTATGGCCTCGAAGGAATGGGAGTCTGGGCAGCAGGAATGGAGGTTCATGCTGGTCAATAACACTTAGGAGGAAAATGAACTCATTGATATTCACCATGTGGGTCTTTTACATTAATTAAATATATTGCCTTTCAATCTGAAAGGCCACATGTTGTTTTGATTTAAACAACTTCAGGGAAAGGAGGCAAGCAGCATCCATGGGGAGAGCCAGCAGTGAATAATAGGTCTCAGAAGTGCCAAACATATTAGGGTGAACAGGGCAAGACCCCTTTTACAGGACTGAGAAGTCAGAGAAGCTGCCAGAGGGGGGAAGACACAGCCTCAGAGATAAATCTACGTCTGCCTCTCATGAACATTACACAAAGGCCCCAAGAACTGGAAAGAGTGGACTGACTACCTAGTCCAAAATGAATGACAGAATATCTTTATCATCTCCAAAATAAAACTAATAATTTTATAATGTAAGATTAGGACATATTAGATGCCTTAGGGATCCATCATTGTTGTCCAAGGGAGCAGCTTTTCAGTACCACCCGTGTGCACAATGTTGTGCCTCATCATTGTGACTAAACCAGACTTGGGACAGTAACTGGGCAAAGGTGTGATGACCTGCCACCATCAAGAGCAATGATTCTTAGCTCTCGTGACATGGATCCCATTAAGAATCAGAGGAGAGGTCTTAGCCCCTCTCTCCCAAAAATCTACACCTGTGCACACAAAATTTTGAACAGCATGATGAGGAGTTAAGAAGTCAAGAAACCCTCATCCACACAGAAGTCAGGGAGACTAAGGTGAATTTGGAAAGAGCCACCTAGTAAGCACCCACGTGGTGTGTCTGATTTCATTTCCGGAGGAATGAAAACGCTCACGCGTGCGCCCCCTTTTGTGCGCACTGAAGAAACTGGCCAGACCTCTAGGAGGACTGTAGCAGCTTCAGAGCACTGTACACTGAGAGGTGAATGATGCTTTATGATACTTTATATGGCCATGCTGACACAGACATGCAGCTCCGTGGCCTTCCAGAACTCACTGTCGTGGGGATTTGCGTACCTGCTTAAGTATTTTTAGTTGGTGAGGATCCTACCCAGACTGGATCACCCCATGGTCCAGGATCCTGCTCTCTGGGATACTCAGTAAATAGCGCCTGGTGAGCTAGGAAATAAGGGCCTATACATCAGAGGAAAACAAGTCACTACAGGTGAAGAGGAGACAGTCCTAACCGGACTGTCAGGCGTGTGAAAGCGTAAAGAGAAACGGCCACCTAAGGTGTACATGTGGGCAGAAGGGTGCAGGGAAAGGAAGGAAATACTCCAGCCTGTGCTGCCTGCCAGGCTCACTTGTAGGGCCCGAGACATTCAATCTTCAGGTCATGGGTTCAACCCCATGTCGGGCACATTGTTATTAAAAGGGTCAGACTGATGTAGTGGAAAAAGGAAGTCATGCAGCCAGGAGTCAGGGAATGCGCTGATCTTGGCTCGGCCCTCACACAGCGCATTCTAAACCCTTTGCCAGCGCTCTGGAATTGGAACCACTCACTCACATGGTAGAGGCCAAACACCTCCACGAAGACACCCTTGCGTGAGAGCCACTGATCATGTGGGTGACCTGGCAAAACCACGGGGCCAGTGCAAGCAGGTGCCCCGAGAGCCCTCATTGAGCCTCGCTGGAGCCCAGTGACGCTGGAGGGCCTCTTCAGTGGGCTTTCCTTCTAACTTTAGATTCTGACGCTCCCCAAAGGGCTTTAGAAACCCGACAGTGGAAACCCAATACTATCTCCCAACAGTCTTCCACGGTCTAAGTGAAATCGAAAGCCTGGCTCTGACTAGTACAAATAAGAGCAGCACAAAGACCTAGAGAAGAATGGAATTCTAGAGGGAACATCACCACGCCTTGCTAACCATCTCTGACTGCAGTAGACCAAGGGTTAGCAGTGGTGAGGCCCGGCCACACCAGGCTCCCATTCCTTGGCTCCCTGTTCCACAATACTCCCCATGGCCACCTGTCTGAACTAACCTGTTCAGTATCTCCAAGGGGAACTCAGTGGACATAACTAAAACACATGGAAGTACGAGACAGGAACATGGCTTCAGAACTGGAGTAAGTTATTATAATGAGGTCTAACTTCTACTTAAAATTATAATTGTATTTATAAAGTACGTTTTAATTTTAAAGATTTATTTGTTTATGCATACAAGAACTGGGGTACAGGCCAGAGGTGCAGAGGATGAGAGGATTCACCAGAGACAGAGTGGGGAGCAGAACAGGCAGGGTGACTGAGATACACTGCTGAGGGGAGCAGTGGGCGGGACAGCAGAGGTCTGCCACACCATGTGGGTCAGCTCCCTGGCTGAGGATCAAACTTGTGCTGCAGTGGCTGTGGATAGCTTCAGAGTGATGCACTTTAACCCACTGTGCCACCAGAGAGGCCCCTTATAAAATAGGTTTTAATGATCATGCAAAGAAAAGGGTGTTGTAATCTACTTCTAGAGATAACCTCTAAGCACTAGTATTTGGTTTGGAATATATTATGGCTCTCTGTAGCAGGTATACTCTCCCTGTACACTTCCATTAAAGTAAGATTAATGTGCTGAACACAGAACAACTGATGACCAAGAAGAATTATCCAATAGTGTGTTGGGATGCCACCTTTTGCCCAGTGAGTATCATTATGAGGACAACCACTAGTGAAATATTTGAACGTCAACAACCTCAGAAACAAGGCCAGACAAATGACACAATGTTTGAGCTTTTATACCAGAAAATTAATACGAATCTAGTAAAGTAAACTACCATACAGTAGCATATGTAAAGACTTCAGTATTTTCAACATGGGACAGGCACGAAGGAAGTGCCACCGAAGGAGGCTCAGTGCCCTCCGTGTGCTTTCCTACTCCTCGGGCACAGGATTTGGGAGATGGCAACACTATCACAGGTTTCCATAAACTTGGGCTCCACTGCAGAAACTCTGCTTCTTTTGTAATGGAGACTACGCTGTCCCATGAGGTAGTCACTAACACAGACAGATGCTGAGCGCTTGAACTGAAGTAAGATCCGCTGTTAGCATAAAATACACATTGGAGTTCAAAGGCTGTGTACAATTTTAAAAAAACACATTTCACTCAGAATTTATACATTGATTAAATGTTGAAGTATGTTTAACATTTGAGTTAGAAAAAGTGCATTATTAAAATCAATTTCACTACCTTTTTACATATTTAAATGTGATTTCAAAAAATGTCTATATTATTATCTATCTACAGGACAGTGCTGATTTAGAAAGTCAAAGGATATTCTATGTGTATATAATATATAAAATATTTAAGACACTAATAATACATTTCTAAGACCCTCTTATGTAATTTAACAACAAATTCCTATAAGGAGAAATATAATACAGCACTAGCATAAAAGAGGGGTCCTTTACTGAGTCCCAACTTTCTGACTGCTGTAGTGCTGATGTTTCAGGTAGTATATCTGCAATCCTCCCAAAAGAGAAGAAGAATTTGGATCAGGGAGATTGAGAAATCTGCCCCACCTCACACTATTGGGGTGCTAGATCCAGGCTCTGAATGCAGATCCCGCTGAAACCAATACCTGTACTCTACAGAACTCAGGTAAAGAAATTGAAGGGTCCCTGATCAGAAGTGACCACCTCTTATGAAGCTGGTCAATATCCAACGTGGACTATCTAAGCCATCTAGCTGTCATTAAGAACATGTCCCTTTCTGCTTTAAAGACAGTAGAGTCGGGCCCTCCCTGGTGGTGCAGCAGGGCAGGTTAAAGCGCAG